TCCTCTCCCCCTCCTCTCGTCCTCCTCTCCCCCTCCTCCTGCTCCTCACCCCCCCCTCCTCCGTGGCGCGATAAAAGACGATTGTTCCCCCCCACCTTCCCTTTTCCCCTACCCCCCTCCCTCACCCCCGCCTGTCACATGACATGAGAAGGTAATGGATAAAAATCTTCCTTGCACATAATTAACGGAATCTTTTCCTCGCCGCGGGGTGATTAGTTCATTGTTTTGGGTCTCGCGTTTCTCCTCTTCTTGTGGGGGGTGGGGGGGAGGGGAGCCAGGCACTATTGCTGATCTTCATTCCCTCAGTCTATCTATTTCTATTTTTTTTTTCTTTCTCATTCTCTCTCTCTCACTCTTTCCTATTTCTCTCTCTCTCTCTCTCATTCTCTCCATCCCCTTTCTCTTCCTCTTCCTCTTCCTCCTCCTGTCGAGAGAGAAGCGCGTAGGAGCTGAAATAGTTTAGAGAGCGACCTTGGTGTCCCTGCATGCAATTGCAGAAGACGCTTCCTTTCCTCGCCTTCTGTTGCATCCTTTGCAATCTCGGAATATGGAGGTTGATTAAATTCTCTCTTGCTTTGCCATCATTTCTCGCCTTTATTGTTTTTTATCCTTATTCAAATGTTTTGTGGACCGAGGGAGGGTGTGGGGGGAGGGGAAGAGGGGGGGGTACTGCAGTTGAAGCATTGTGTCGCTTTGCGGGAGAAAGTGGCAGACTTCCTCCACCCTTTTCCCGCCCTCCTTTTCGTGTTCTTCCCCTCCTCTCTTCCTCTTCTTTTGCTTTCTTTCATCTTGCACTCCTTCGTCTCTCTTTTCTTCTCTTTCTCCCCTCTATCCCCTTTTTCCTCTCTTTCCTTTCCTCTTCTTCACTCTCCTTCCTTCTTTCTTCTCTTTCTTTATTCCCCCTCGTCATCACGTTATCACCATCACTTTCATCATCATCATCCTCCTCTTCCTCCCTCCTCCTCCTCCTCCTCCTCCTCCTCCTCCTCCTCCACTTCCGCTTCCTTCTCCACCTCCTCCCTCCTCCACCCTTTTCTCTCGCCTCCTCTTCCTCCACGACCTTCCTCTTTCCTTTCGTATGCAACGTTGCAACACCTTCCCCCCTCGTTGCATTGAGTGTCGGGGCGGCGAAAGAGTGCCATTCACGCTCCGCCGAGTTGCAATGGATAAAGGGGGAGGGGGGGGGGGTTAGGGCGATTGTAGGCGTAGGTGGAAAGGAGAGGGGGTGAGTATGGGCGTGGGAAGGGGGGGGGTGAATGTTTGTGGTGGGGGGAGGGGATGGTATGGGTTGATAAGGTTAAGGTGGAGGGGAAGAGTGGAGTAGGAGATAGGGGTAGTGGGGGGCGGTGAGCGAAGGGGGGGGAAGGGAGGTGGACGGAGAGGGAGAAAGAATATGCGTAGGCGGTATGTGTGGACTGGAGAGATGGGGGGGGGGGATAAGTGGGCGTGCGGGCGGGGCTGTGTCGCGTGAATGGGCCGTGCGTCCTTGCGGGGAACGTGTGGGCGTAGTGTGGCGCAGTGTGGGCGGGGGCGGGGCGGGGTAGGAGGAGGAGGAGGGGGGGTGAGGGAGTTGCATCTATTGCATCTCTTCTTTTGTTTTTTTGTTTTTGTTTTTTTGTAAGCTATTTTTTCCCCTCTTTGTTTAGATTCTTTCGGGTTTGATGTTTTTTTTCTTTCTTTCTTTTGTTTCATTGTTTTTTTGTTTTTTTTTGTCTTTCGAAATTTGCTTTTGTTCCGATTACGTCTTGAATGTTATCCGTCTCATTATTGCTGTTACTCTTATCAACCTTATTGTTACTGTTATTATCAGCCTTTATTGTGATAATCAGTCTTATTTCTGTCGTAACGTTTCAAAATAATGACACTAAAATAACCATCATCATAGCTACTGCATCTGCATTAGAGGAAGGGAAGAGGGCATAGCGGCGAAAATCAGAAGAGATCCTGCTGTTGGGGAACTCGGGGGAGGGGAAGGGAGGAACAGGCGGACAGACGGCATGGTAGATTTGTTAACAGAATTGGGAGGGAGGAAGAGAGAGAGAGAGAGGGGGGGGGGGAGAGAGAGAGAGAGAGAGAGAGAGAGAGAGAGAGAGAGAGAGAGAGAGAGAGGGGGGGGGGGGGAGAGAGAGAGAAAGAGAGAGGGGGGGGAGAGAGAGAGAGAGAGGAGGGGGGAGGGAGAGAGGGGGGAAGAGAGAGACAGACAGACAGACAGAGAGGGAGAGGGAGGGTAGAGAGAGAGAGAGAAAGAGAAGGGGGGGAAGGCAGAAAAAAAGAGAGAGAAAGAGAGATGGATGGAAGAGAGAAACAGCTACGCGTCTCCCAAGTCGCTTGTAGTGCTTGCGTGCGTGCGTGCGTGCGTGCGTGCGGGAATGGCAAGAGAGGCGCGAGAAGGCGAAAGTGCGGCGAGCTGTTTGCCCAGGTGTTGTTTGGCGAAGGTGTGCGTGCGCGTGTGTGCGTGAGTGTATGTGTGTGTGTTTGTGACGTCACGTGGAGCTCCTTTCGCGCCACGCAAATACGGGTTGGCCGGAAGTAACGTGGGCGCGGGGGGGGTGGGGGAAAGGAGAGAGTGGGAGGAAAGGGAGGGTGGAGGGGGGGAATAAAGAAGGGGGTCGGGTACGAGAGAGCGACAGAGGGACAAAGAGGGAGAGAGAGAGAGAGAGAGAGAGAGAGAGAGAGAGAGAGAGAGAGAGAGAGAGAGAGAGAGAGAGAGAGAGAGATAAATAGAGGGAGGGGAGAGAAAAAAAATGGGGAAAGAGGTGCTTTGTCATGCACACAAGCGTAACATGTAGAGAGCTTATGTATGCCGATGTCTACGCAAATGCCATCTGTAAATACTTGTGTGTGTGAGACAGAGAGAGAGAGAGAGAGCATTTCCTCCCCTACGCCCCCCCAGCCCTCACGAACCGCCCCAAGTCTCCGGCAAGGCGGCCCCATTCCCGAGGGGGCGGCGCGGCCTCACCTGTGCGTTGGCTCTCAAGACGAAGGTGCTAATGGCCTCAAATCCAGGTGCTGCGCCAGCTAACGGAAGTGCGCTCTGGGTCAGCGGTCCGCCCGCGCGCGCGCACACACCCGTCGGCCCTTGGGCTGCCTGCGAAGACGGGCCAGGGGATTCTCTCTCTCCCTCTCTCCCTCCCTCCCTCTCCCCCTCTCCCCTCTCTCCCTCCCTCCCTCCCTCCCTCCCTCCCTCCCTCCCTCTCCCCCCTCTCTCTCTCTCTCTCTCTCCCTCTCCCTCCCTCCCTCCCTCTCTCTCCCTCCTCCTCTTTCTCCCTCTCTCACTCCCTCCTTCCTCCTCCTCCCCCCTCCTTCATCCCCCTCCCTCCCTCCTCCCTCCTCCCCCTTCTTACTCCTCTTCCTTCCGTCTCCTCTCCATTCTCTTCTCACTCTTCTCTCTCCCTATCTAAATCGTATCTCTCTCCTTATTTTCTTTCTCCCCACTTCTTTTTCTCTCTTTCCCCCCTCTTTCTTATTCTACTCTCCCTCTCCTCCTCTCTTCTCCTCTCCTCTCTTTCCTTTTTCTTCTCTCTCCCTCTCTCTTTCCTTGTTTCCTTCTTCCCCCCTCCCCTCCTCTCCTCCTCTCCTCTCTCTCCTTTGCCTTCTTTCTCATTCTCCCCCTATCTCCCTCTTTCTCTATTTTCTTCTTTCTCTCTCTCCCGTTCTTCTTTCTATTCCTCTCTCCCTCCTACCCCCTCCTCTCTCCCTCCCTCTCTCTCTCTCTCTCCCTCACCCTCTCTCTCTCTCCCTCCCTCCCTCCCTTTCTCTTCCTCTCTCTCTCTCTCTCTCTCTCTCTCTCTCTCTCTCTCTCTCTCTCTCTCTCTCTCTCCCTCTCTCCCTTTCCTTCCCTCCTCTCCCACCCCCTCCCTCCCCCCCTCTTTCTAATCCTGCGTCTAAACGCAGATGATTTCTTATCTAAATCTTTCTCTTCGCCCCCCCCCCTCCCTGTCCTCGCTCCCCCGGCCGCCGGCCTCGTTGCGGCGGCGGCAGGCGAGGCCCCGACCCGGGAGGTCCGGCCGGGGACCCTGAGGACGCCGCCGCCGCCGCCCCGCGTCCTCAGCCGGGCGGCCAGCCAGACGCCCGTCCTCCACAGTCCTTACCATCGCCTCCTCCTACTTTTTTTTTTATTTTACTCTACTGTTGCTCTTTCTCCCCCCGCCTTTCCTCTTTCTCCACCTCCTCTTCATCCTCCTCTTCCTCCCCCCCCCCCCTCCTCCTCCTCCTCCTCATCATCATCATCATCATCATCATCATCATTATTGTCACCATCACCCACATCATCCAATACGTAGGGAGGACCTTGGCCACTGGACCGTGTCGCTTTGGGGGGGGCGGAGAGATGAGGGGAATGGGGAATTGGAGAGAGAGAGAGAGAGAGAGAGAGAGAGAGAGAGAGAGAGAGAGAGAGAGAGAGAGAGAGACCGAGCAGAGAAACAGAGACAGACACACAGAGGGGGGGTAGGAAGCGAGAGATAAAGGATTGACACTATATACGAGGATATAGAAAGGGAAACGGAGAGACGGAGCCAGAGACAGCGAGAGGCAAGAGGAGGACAGTCGGAGGGGGGGGGAGGCGAAAGACCTGAAGGGCGGCCGCCCGTGGACCCGGCTGGCATTCCGCCGCGGCCGGGAGGGGCCAGATCTATATTACGTGTGATTTGCATGGGGCCCGGGATGGCGTCCCTGCTCCTCCGTGCTCCTCTTGCCCCGTGCAGCACGCCAAGAGGGCTCCTGCTCCGAAGCGTCGGCGGAGGGATCGGTTCGCCATGTTCCAGCTCTTCTTGCTGTCATTGTTGCCGTCCTTATTATGGGCTTTTTTGTGATGTGTACACTTACTTAGTTTTAAAGTTTCTATTGTTTTCTAGTCAATTTTACTTCTTATAACAAGAATCCGACGAAATAAACATCTAGTGTTATCGGCGTTTTCTTTATTGTTGGTGTTATTAATCCTATGTAACCGTCTTCCTCATTGTTATCCCCGTTATTAACCCGATCGCTTTGTCCCGCAGGTGGGTCGAGCGGCAACCCGGCGGGCTCCTCGGGCCCGGTGAAGCGAGGCCGAGGCCGCCCGCGCCTGCTGCCGCTGGGGCCCGGCCACCAGGGCACGCGCACGCCGCCCGCGCTCCCCCTCGCCCTCGGCACGGCACTCAACACGCCCAAAACGGACGACAACAGCACGCCCAAGCCGTTCGGGTTCTACACCTGAGGGGCGGACCGAGGGGCGCCGAAGGAGAAGCAGCAGTGAGGGCGCCGCGGGATCCTCGTCCTTCGGCCTCGGGGCAGCGGAGGCGCGTCGAAGGTCGACACGTAGGTGTTGCGTTTAGTGTAGGGAGCGCCGAGCAGAGAGAGGAAGGAGGGAGGCGGCATGGATTTGAACGAAGAGGAGGGGAGGAGGAGGGAGAGGAGGCGGGGAACGGAGCCGCCGCCGCCAGGGGACCAAAGTGGACAGCCGCAAGTCGCCCGGACACACGCGTGCCAAGGAGGGCCTAGGGAGGGAGGCACTGGCCCCCTCAACGCACCCCTCTCCTCCCCACCCCTCTCCCTATGGCCTTCAAAAGGAGGGTTGAGGGAGGGAGGGGGCAGTGTCTCCCCATGTCCCGTCCCCCCCTGCCCCCTCCCCCCGCCCCCCGTACCCCCTCTGTGCCTGACTGATTCTTCCTTCGATGGAGCGCTCGATTTAGGCCCTAGATTTGTTTCTTTTTTAAGAATGGCGAGGACAGTGGATGGTGCATAATGTAATTCCCTGTATAAAATAGATATATAACTTAATGAATGCATTGATAAATGGGTAATTCTTCCATGAGAGTTTTGGACCAAGTGTTGTTGTTCATTATCTTTTTTATCAAACTCCTCCTGATATTAAGTCCAGATTGTCTTTTTTAGGTTATGTCAAAGGGATATGACACATATCTTTTATTTAATATAAAAAGGTCTTACACGCAACCTATCTTAGATTATGTATATGTTGGGAAGAACCAAAGACATGTGTTCTTTTTTTTCCTCTTTTTTTATAATGATGTATCAAGTCGAGGTTTCGTGTACGTATGTGTATGTGTGTGTACATAGAGGTAAATCGCGGGGTGTACACGAGAGAGCAGCGTGCGTTTGAGACGCTGGTGGCTGCTAATGCTCATTTTGCTCAATGATTATTTACTTTCCCCCTTTTTTTCTTGTTTTCTTTTTTTTTTCTTTTAGTCTGCGCTCTTCCAAGGATTTCTATAAGCCAGTCGAGGATTGTTTGAAAAGCATGTATGATCATTCCGTCGTTTCATTTCTCTCTCTCTTTCCTCTCTTTATCTCTTCCCCTTCTTCCTCTTTTTTTTCGTTCACTGCAAACCATCGAGGCAGCGTGACATGAGTGCAGTGGGTAAGCGCGCCCATTTGAGTGGACTTTGCGCGCGGAGATTTCAACGCCGCGAGGGGAAGTTATCCAAATTCTTGCGAGTGCGGAGACTCTCCTTAGCAGTCGCTCTCGGCTTCCCTTATTCCCCTTTCTGGTACGGAAGGGCTTGTTTCTTGTATTTATCTTCATTTTGGATAATTATTCCTACCCATTCCTTAGAAATAAAAGAAAAAAAGGAAAATATGGAAGACGAGGGAGAAGGGGATAAAGAATGAACACTGTAATGAAAGAGGAAGAGAGAAAGAGAAAAGACTACGAGAAAAGAGAGAAAGAGAGAGAGAGAAGAAAGAGAAAAGACTACGAGAAAAGAGAGAAAGAGAGAGAGAGACAGAGAAGAGAGAAAAACAGACTCCAACTTCAAAAGAGAAATATATTCCAGATAGCAAAAAACCACAACGCAAAACAAACAACCAACCAAACAAAAACAAAAGTGCACGTGACTTAACGAAGAGTATAATCTTAAGAATGACTCACAATACGTAACTTTTTTTCAAGACGTCCTCACGCAGGACTCCTGACTTACGTGTCTATCATATCGACCAGTCTTTTTTTACGAGGGTTGCGTCCTTGTTTCGACTTCAGTGTAACAGTGTATGTCTTTTACACCCATTGTATGTACCATCGAGACTGTGATTGTGTGATAAATAAAATATTTGTTGAGCATGTGTTGTTTCATTGCTGCTTTTCTCCTACCAATCGGATTTTCCCTTTTATTATGTATTCTTTTAATAGTATATCTGTCTTTTCTTTCATTATATCTTACTGACTTTCTCTCACATTATCTTGTCCATATCGTACAGGTTTTTTTTCCGATTTCTTTTGGTATCTCGTCCCACCCAGAAACCCCCACTCCCCTTGCCTTATCAGTCGGCGAGTGCATTAACTGTGATATAGAGTCATTGAGGGCAGTAACCATCATTAATAACCAGCGGGCACTAATGATTCGTGTCCCAGGTGCGTCGCGTAAAGTTATAATTAACCAAGTCACACCTGTTACCTCCCTAACGATGCGGGTCGCCGGTTATTGAGGACCACCTGTGTATAGCGACCGCCCGTAACCGCAGCGTGGGGTTCGACTGTAGTCTTATTTCTCGGGTGTGAAAGTGACGAGGTTGAGAAAATGAACCGAGTTACGGAAGACAACAAACACAAGAATGAAAAGAATAACACAGAATAAGATAAATAAAATATAAGAAGAACAAAAAAAAGCAAAACTAAATACAAAATACACATATAACGAAACACACACACACACACACACACACACACACACACACACACACACACACACACACACACACACACACACACACACACACACACACACACACATACACATACACACACACACATTTCACGACACTCGCAACACACTACTTAATATTAGGAATTCGACAGGAGTTGGCCAGAACACGACAAATGGCTTGGGAGAGAACGCCATTGGCATTCAATTAGGGCGACCTGGGTGGGGCAGCGACGAGAGGAACGCGGAGGGGAGAGGGCAAGGCGGAGGGGAGGGAAACACACGGCGAGGACGGAGGGAGGCCTTGATGGGGAGATAAAGGAAGGAGGGAGAGAGAGAGAGAGAGAGAGAGAGAGAGAGAGAGAGAGAGAGAGAGAGAGAGAGAGAGAGAGAGAGAGAGAGAGAGAGAGAGGGAGGGAGAAGGGGGAGGATAGAGAGAGAGAAGGGGAGAAGAGAGAGACAAGAAAGGCGGGGGAGGAGAGAGAGAGAGATAAGGGAGGAGGGGGAGGATAGAGAGAGAGAAGGGAGGAGGGGGAGGAGAGAGAGAGAGGGAGGGGGAGGGGAGAAGAGAGAGAGAGAAGGGAGGAGGGGGAGGATAGAGAGAGAGAAGGGGAGAAGAGAGAGAGAGAAGGGGAGAAGAGAGAGAGAAGAAAGGCGGGGGAGGAGAGAGAGAGAGATAAGGGAGGAGGGGGAGGATAGAGAGAGAGAAGGGAGGAAGGGGAGAAGAGAGAGAGAGAAGGGAGGAGGGATAGAAGAAGAAGAGGGAAGGGGAGAAGAGAGAGAGAGAGAGAAGAGAGGAGGGGGAGGATAGAGAGAGAGAAGAAAGGCGGGGGACGAGAGAGAGAGAGATAAGGGAGGAGGGGAAGGAGAGAGAGAGAGAAGGGAGGAGGGGGAGGAGAGAGAGAGAAGGGGGAGGGGGAGGGGAGAAGAGAGAGAAAGAGAAGGGAGGAGGGGGAGAAAAGAGAGAGAGAGAGAGAGAAAATGGGGAGAGAGAGAGAAGGGAGGAGGGGGAAGAGAGAGAAAGGGGAGAAGAGAGAGAGAAGGAAGGAGGGGGAGAAAGAGAGAGAAAGGGGGAGAAGAGAGAGAGAGAGAGAAGGGAGGAGGGGGAAGAGAGAAAGAGAGCGAGAGAGAGAGATGGGGGAGAAGAGAGAGAGAGAGAGAGAGAGAGAATGCTGAATTGAGTTCTTTAAAGACTAAGCGAATGAAGGGAAGAAACAGAGACAGAGAGAGAAAAATGGAAGAGGAAGCAAAATAAGTAAACTGACGAGAAAAGGAAAGGTCAAATTAACTAAAAATACTTATGATGAATAGAAGTGAAAATCATACCTTAACAGGAAACCAACAACAAAAAAAAATAAATCAAAATAAAAATTAAAAATAAACGAAAACATGACAAATAGAACCAAGCAATAAAAGACAAAAAAATATTTAAAAAAAACACACACTCAATCAAGGCAACGAAAAGGAAATAAGGGGATAAACAATGAGAAAGAAATACAAAACCCGAAGATAAACAGGGAGAAAATGACGCAAAATGGAACAGACGAAAGAGAGACAAAAATACCTAACGAGAAGAGAAAAGTCAAAAGGTGCAAAAGTTGAGGTCTTTATATTGTCATAAACGCCAGAAATAGCATTGCTGTTCCTGTGAACTAAGAATGGAATAGTTATAAAATGACATAATGGGGGTAACGATAATGATGACGATAATGCCATTGGTAGCGAGGATGAGAAGGGTCATGAAAATAGTGTCTGGTGATAATGGAAGGAATGACCAATAATAATGATAGAATACTGAAGCAAATATTGATACCAAATAATCATAATAATGAATATATGAATCATGGCGATGAAAACGATAACAGTGGAAATAAACAATAAATATACTACTGTATTCCTTCAGTCTTTGCATCACACCTAATCCCCTCCCCCCCCCATACATTTCCACTGCATAATATTACCTCTTTCGTAATCAATTGTGCATGATGCCAAAATTCCCTAATAATGATGACGATGATGATGCTTTTCGGGAAGATTTTCCAACCTGAATGTGATGAATGAGAGAAACACGAGAAAATGAGCGTATAAATGAGGGGTTAGGAAAAGGGGGAAAAAGTCAAAAGGAAGGATAAGATGAGGGTAAACAAGAGGGAAAGAGGATGAAAGATGAATAATGAGATAAGAAGCAATTGGGGTGTTTTTCTTTTTTTTTTCTTTTGTGGTTTGAGAAGTGTATGTGTGTGATTGTTTGTGTGTGTTTTTATATGTGCATGGATACGCCCGTCGTGTATCGTACATACATGTGTGTATGTATATCTATGAGTACGTGTGTGTCTACAACATCTGTGTTTGTGTGCACGCGTATGTTATATGTGTGTTTCAGTGTGCTGTGTATCCCGCGGACACGTTTATATCCGTATGCATGCGTATGTTCTATGCATTATGTATCAAATTGCCTGTGTGTTATGAAGAGAGGGAGAGAGGGAGGGGAGGAGGGAGGGAGCCAGAGAGAGAAGGAGTAAGAAGGAGAGAGAAAGAGGGAAGGAACAAGGACAAGCGAGAGAAGGGAGGAGTGACGTAAGAGAGGAAAGAAGGGAAGCAGGGAGGGAGGGAAGGAACGTACGAGGTAGAAAAGCATTGAGGGAGTTGGATGAGAAAGGGAGAAGAGGGAGGGAGGCGAGGAGGCAAGAAAGGACGGGGCGAATAACGAAAGGAGTGAGGGAGAGGAGGAGCTTTGTGAGAAAAAGAGGGGTAGAAATAGGGAGGGAGTGATGGGTAGAGGGAGGGAGGGAGAGAAGGAGGGAGGGAGGGAGTAAGGGAGATAGAGAAGAAGGGAGCGAGGGGGCAGAGGCGTCATTACCTCACGAGCAGCAGCGCCGCCATCTTGCCCGGGGCGGAGCCTGGGGGGTGACCTTGGGGCAGGGGGGAAGGTGGGGAGGAAGGCAGAAGAAGAGGAAGAAGGAGGAGGAGGAGGAGGAGGACGACGACGACGACGACGGCGACGACGACGACGACGACGAGGTGGTGATAGGGAGGGAAAAATAAGAGGAGAAAAGGAAGGGAGTGAAGGAAGGAGGAGAGGGGAGAGGGAGGGAGGGAAGGAGGGGCAAGGAGGAGGGAGAAGGACTAGTCTGCTACCTCCCTAACCCCGGCCTGACCCCCCGTGTCAGTCTCCTTCGCTTCATTACGAGCATGTCTCCCTTGAAGGATGCACGCGCACTCGCAAACACACTCGTTCACTGACGCATTTATATAAGCACGCTCGCTGCCACAAGCACACACTTACGAACTCCTTCACTCTTTCTCTTTACTTCTATCTTTCTGTCTCTGTGTTTGTCTGTCTGTCTCTGTCTCTGTTTCTCTCAGCCCTCACAAGCTCCCTCTCCCTCGTCTTTTTCTCCTTCTCCGTCTCCCTCTCCCTCTCCCTCTTCCTCTCCCTCTCCCTCTACCTCTCCTTCTCTCTCTCTCCCTCCCTATCTCCCTCTCCCTCTCTCCCTCTCCCTCCCTCTCTCCCTCTTTGTCTCCCTCTCTCCGATAACACTACTGACATACATAAAATTTTACTTTTGATATTCACATGCTGAAGAAAAAATAATAAAGATAGAAATATGGAAAATAATAAAACAACAATAATGATAAAAAGGAAACAGAACAAGTATATTTCAAGCAAGGAAATATACACGCACGAAACACGAAAGGAAAACACATTTAAAAAAAAATAGAACACTGATATAAATATATGCATAACACACTGATTCAAATAAAAAAAAAAATAAAAAAAAAACATGCTTTAAAAATAAGACAAAAAACACTAAAAAAGAAGCACGTTAAAAATGAAAATTAAAAAACACGATAAAACAGAAGATAAAAATAGACGATAAAAAGAAGGAAAACAAAAAGGGGAAGAAGAAAAAAAACTTAGAGAACAGAATGTCATCCCGGGAGATTTAATTAGAGACGTCCCGAGTGATGCAACAGGTGCACGCACTCCCACAAGGACGCCTCTCGGGGTGCGTGCGTGCGTGTGTGTGTGTGTGTGTGCGTGTGTGTGTGTGTGTGTGTGTGTGTGTGTGTGTGTGTGTGTGTGTGTGTGTGTGTGTGTGTGCGTGCGTGTGTGCGTGCGTGTGTGCGCGTGTGTGTGTTTGTGTGTGTGTGTGCGCGCGTGCGTGCGTGTGTGCGTGCTTCCACTTTCTGAGACATCCTGCGACTATGCAAATGAGATGCAACATTTTCTCCTTCTCGTCCCCCCGCTCAGCCTTTATCCGGGATGCTTGGCTTACTGTTTGTCGACAAGAACAGCAACAAAAAGAAACAGGAACGAGAATAACACACACAAACATATATATGTGTGCATGTGTATATGTATGTATGCATGCATGTTGTATGCATGCATGCATGCATGTATGAATATCCATACCTA